CTGATGAACAGTACTGGAAAAAATTTAATTAAATTGGAGTCACTATAAAATGGAGTAAAACTATAAAGTGTAGAAAGATTGAATAAACATATATAATTAAGAAAAACCAGCTACCTTGTGATTCGAGGATGTTTCACGCCCTATAATTGCAATAACATAAGCTTTCCAGTTTGATCGAAATATGTATATTAAGTGGCGAAATAAAATAGAGAACGAAAGTTGGTAGTATTTTAATTATATATCTATCGCATAAGAAGGCAATCTCATAAATAAGTGCTGAGACAGGAGCCTTATGTTTTATGTTGACATATTATGATGAGTACGAGACATAGTTTTATAGTGAAATGTTTGGCATTAGATAACTTGCAAATCAAATTATTCGATTCGTTTCATACCAAATTAATTAACTTGACATTGTTATTTATAGCTATGTTCCCATTAATTATTGTCACTTTCGTATCTTTATTACTACACTTTATACTTTACTTCCTGTTAGCTACACAAGATCAAAAGCTAAGAATCAACTTTGCATTTAATTTGACAGCAAGCAAACAAATAATATAAACTATGAATTTTAACAACATTCTTTTACATTTCAAGAGGATAGGAATAAAATTCTGTACAATTGAATCCCCAACCATCCAATGTGTTTTTTTTATTTATTTATTTATTAGCATGACCATTCTATTTTTCTTTTTCACATAGTTACGACAATTAAACATTTGGTGAACCCACGGACAGTTGATGAGAAAATAATTTACTAGTCTAGATCCATTGTATCTCTAGGTTACAACAGAAATAAGTGTATAAGATGTTCGTTTATTTCGGTGGCTAAGTGAATCTATGCAATGAATTTAATCAATTAAGCAAACTTTCTTCTTTCCATTTTTTAGTGAGTGTTATGCCTCGTCGTACAAGGCTTTTATTATTGGCTATATTGCAGCCAATTAAGGAAACAAGAAGAATCCATCTAAGGCGAGCAATCTACATTACTTTGCCCACCTGTCCTAATCGAAGTCATGAACAAAGGAAGTTGAAGTGAGCGAAATGTCCAGCCGACCCGACAAGATGTGTGGAGGCCAAACCTCCATGTTCTAAGCAAATCATTATGATCGTATTTTTGAAGCTATGAGCCTTCATATCACAAGGCCTTATCAAAGAGATATTTTTGTTTGATTAATTGATTGGACATATATGAAGCAAATGCCTCTTAGTCAACTTTTATATATAATAGATCTAGGTTATATGGTGGCTACTTTCAGAAAATTCAATTCCACCTCAACTTAAGACAGCATAGGTGATGCCTATGAGGTTGATGCTCAATCATTAAAATGAGGTCACGTGCCATCATTCAATGCTAATTACCTTTCATGTTTTATAAAGTGAATTCATCTCATCCAACGATAGTCACACTACAAAACTAATTCCTTTAAATCCCTACATGATTAACTTCGAATAGTTATAAAGTGAGTATAATAATTTAGTCAGATAATGAATCAATAGACTCTGAATAAAATATTTTTTGTGTCTGAATTCTATGAAATTACTTCCGACAATTTCTACAACAAATGTGTTTATATATTAATTATCTTTACGAGCGTCACATTATCAAATTTTTACGAATAATTATTTAATTATTTGAATAAAACAAAATTCTCGCAACACATTTACAAAGTCATTTGTTGCATACTAGTTATTCAAAGTATAACCAATAATCATGTTATAGTGCAACATTACTCAATTTCTAATCAAAATAAAATTCTAATAGAGAGCAGTATATCTTTCGAAACACATTGTTAAATGTACAAATATATAGTACTTAAGATTAGATGATATCAAATAATAAAAAGGAACTAAACTCTTATCGAAATAAGATTAGACAACATTGCTTTCGTTTGAAAAGTCTATAAACCATTTATAAATAATCAAACTTCATTTACACATACACATTTCAATGGACTTACAAGTACCATCAACCTATTTATTGCTCATTTCCATTTAATTAATAAAAATAAATTAATATTTCATTCATAACTTACAAGTGCTATCAACTTATTTATTGCTCGATTCTATTTAATTAATAAAAATAAACTAAAATTTTGTTCATAAATATATTTTATAACTATCCATATTATGTACTACCAAGTACCTAGTCAAATCTTAGTAGGTTTAATTGCAAATTCCAATCTTT